AATTGAAATTTTATTAAATTTCTTATGACAAATAATAATTTTGTTAATAAATAATTAAAAATTAATAAAAACAATAGTTTATTATATAATAATAAATTTGATTTATTTATTAATTCTCAATATAATAATAAAATTTATTTATTAGTTTATCATATAATAAAATTTACTATATTAAATTAATGAAACTATTTCATAATTTTTAAACAAAAATCAAAATAAAAAGTTAAATTATAAGGATATTTTTTGTTTTTGTAATATAAAGTAAAAGCTAAAAAAAAAAAAAGAAGTTAAAGACCGTTCCCTATTAAACCAAAATCTATTAATGGAGACATCAATCCATCTTATTACTTATACAAAATCTAAGAATAAAAAGAAGAGCCCTTAAAAAGGAAAAGAAGAATAGGGATATTTTTTCAGGACTTTTAAGCCAAATGATGGGGTGAAAAAGAATAAGAAATGGGCATGCCATCATTGTAGGAAACCAGGCCATTGAAAGCATAATTACATGGAATATCTCAAGACCATGAAGAGTAAAAAGCTTAAAGAAGCTTCTACTTCATATATGATTATGAGATTATTGTTTTGCTAAATTTGGTATATGATATCTTATTCTTTGATTGATTTTTGCACATGTATGACATATTTCAGAAACCAATTCAAAAGAGTAGTGAAGATGATTAACCAAAAGGATTATGGAAAGAAGTGGCACTTTGTTGCTAATTTCTAGATTTAATTTTTAAACATTTATTTGATTTAGTTTAAACATTCGATATTTACTTTGGCTTGCATACCATTTAGGTGATTTTGATGATATTATAATTTTTTACCTTACAATCGAATGTTTTGGATATATTTTGAACATATATTTAAAATTTATATTTGATATAAATGTTATTTTGCTCGCATTGGATGCTTAGTTTAATCTTATCCTCTAAAGAACAAATCAAATAAATATGATATTCGTCTAATCATGAATCATAATCAGTTTTGATGAATTTAACTATGATAATATGTTTATGTATTTTTATGCTTAGTCAATTGAATAAGGATTTAGTATATAGATACTTGTTTTGATTATGAATAAAAAAAAAAAACTTATTCAAAAAAAGTGACAATGCAAATGATACAACCAGAAACTAAAATTTCATAACAGGGTTATAAAAGACATAGTTAGTTAAGCTTTTTGATAAAGATAAAGCTTGTAACTAAGGATATTCATCAAACTAGAGATTCTAATGAAGAAACCTGAATACCATTTTGATAAAAAAGATTTCAAATTGTGATAACAAAACAAGTACCCATATGGGATGTTTAATAGATAGTTTCAAGATCACATTTTCAATATTCAAAAGAAATTTTGAATAAAGTCCCAAAACAAGTGAAAGGTTCATATGTATATTGAAAACAAAGGTATGCTTGATAACACTTTAAAGGTTAAATTATATATGTATTTGAAATTTGAATGCATAAGATGTATGAATGCACAAAGATTCAAAGATTTAAGAGAATGCATTGAGATGCATTACTCATAAATGGTGAGTCTACTAAATAAAACAATTTATGACATTAGAATGTGCTATCCAACTTTTGATAAAAAAATTAAAATAAGTTGAATTTATCAAAAGAATCAAGGATATGATTTATGCATATAGAAATAAAGTGGGAGAAGTATGACTAATTTAAACCAGTAGATACATATAAGATACATAAATTATAAGTGGATGCAAATAAAATGCATAGATTTTAAAATTGGACAATGAATATAAAACTAAAAAAGGATCCCAATAAAAGCATGTTAAATGAGTTTAACAAGTAAAGTGACACCTATGCCATGATGAATATGTAATCAGTTTGGAATGTTTCCAAAGAAACCAGATTGCATGTTTATATCTATGATCAAATAGAACCATTTTGTTTCAAGGTTACAAAAGGATACATAATTGGATCATTAACTATTGAGTTATATAAAGATTTTATAACTGTTAAAGTAACAATAGAGCTACAATGAATCCGTTTCTCATTATGATTCAAATAAGTATTATGGTTGGATAATGAGATTGTCAAAGGTATAATCAAATATGATCCCAAAGGTTGCACTAAAACTATTTTATTAAAGACACAATTACTAAGCGAAAGAATTTAGTATTGGATATGTTAGCAGTTGGCTTAAGTGCAAGTAAGAGTTGTTAATGTATGTGCCTTAGAGCTACTCGGTTGGTTGAAGGACATACATTTAAGTTGCATAAAACACTATAATTTAGTGAGTAAAAACATTTTCTTCATTAATAAGCATAAGGATAAAGAGTTACGATGTGCTAATTGGATGGAATCCATGGAAGATATTATAAAAAAATTATAAAAAATTATAATTATGAAATTCTTATACATCAAAGCCATGTACCTAAATCATTTTTGGTCAACGTATTATTCAGACGTGGCATCAACAATTCTTAGGGACTGATAAAAGGTAAGCTTCCTTACTTGTAAAGTAAGTAACCGATCTTATAAGTTAACGTATAAAGATACTTGATGATAACATATAGATAACATGTAGGTGCTTGTTAGATAACAAGTTTGTTGAACATGGCCCATTATGAAAATTTCATTTGGTATCTCACTTAAATGTTTATGAAAATGTTCTCATGTGTAAGTTATGTAACTAGTTTTTAGGCTTGAGACACCACGTAATCTTGTATGTGGATCAATGATTACTTTGATTTTACCTCTATGGTTTGAGATGCCTGATGCCTTAAAAATGTGTTTTTAGATATGATCTAAAGTATATAAATATGGATGAGTAGTAATGAAAGGATCCATCATCTTAAGTGATATGAAGAGACATATCTCATGTGTTCTTCACTTTAATTGACTTATTAAGCCTTTGACCAAAGCATGACGATAAAATTAGGTGAAATAGTTTCATGCTAAATTAATATATATTGACTAAAAGTTAAGGAAACTAATATGAGAGGTTTTATGAATAAATATTGTACCATGCTCATAGCTTTTCAGGATATATGGTGAAAGGACCAAATTATACTGATTGATTGAACATTGAAATGTTAAGTTGAGATTTCTTTAGCTTTTAAGTATTTGGATGGTCATAATACATTGTTAAATGCTGCTCATGATTTATAAGTATATATTTATAATTTTTCTATCAATTTGATATTATATTCACTGCCAATATATTGGAAGCCTAATAGATCGCACACATAAGGTGACATTACCAAATTAATATGAGATTAATCAATTAAGTTGGACTTAATTGAAAGAAACCAAAATAGAGGAATTAAAGCTATAGGTATAAATTACAAGGGATGTAAAACTTACGTCCTTAAGTGCAAAAGTGAGATTTGAAGAGAATTATAAACATATCTCTCCTAGCATTAGCTATACACCCTAAAACAATTGAGAAGAGTCTATATCAATAGAAAATTGCAAAAACACAAGTTTTTTAGCCATAAAATAATTAGCTAAACTAAGGTTTCCTTACAAAAAATGTTGACCTTTCTTGTTTTGTAAGAAAACCATTTTCTTCCTTTTTCCTTCTTGATACCTTGAGGCAAATAATGAAGATAAGATTGGTTTCTAGTTGAAGCACCTACTAATACAGGTTTATAATGCCTTTTTGTGAGAGCTTGGGCAATAGTTACTGTATGGATCATCATTAAAGGCCAAATGCTTGGGTGGTTTAAATCTTAATTTCTTTTTAGTTTTCAAACACAACTAAGGGTTATTTTAACTCTTGATTATGATATCTTGAATTTAAGTATGATTCTAAATAGATTTGTATTTAAAAGTTTTGAATTACATGCATAAACACAAGTATAATCATGTGGTTGTCTCAATTTGGTTGCTTTATTCATTTTGTAGTATCATCTGATACAAAATGATGTATATTATTTGTAATCCATGACACCAAGGCAACAATCCCAACACCATGTTGCTTACCTATGCTATTAAGCCATATGCTTTATTAATTTATGGGAAGTTTCCATTATTTAACATTAACATACACTAATATCTTGTATTTTAGGCTTTCAAAAGCAATTTACTTGAAAAAAACAAAATTAACTTTTGATTTTTTTGCAATTTACTTATGAATGCTACGATATATATATTTATGTTAGTTTTTTTAATTAATAGACATAGTAAAAGATTTAATTTTTATCATTAAAATAAAATTTTAACATTTTATCAATAATTTCTAAATGTTGATTAATCATTGATACTTATAATAAATTGTCCAACAATCAAAGATGTTAAAGGTCAAGTATATAAATATTTATTAATTTAGAAACCTATTTTTCACATTTGCATAAATTACCATATAATTGACAAAGATAATCACCATTAATTAATATTAATTCTAAGTGATTAACCTAATACGTGTTAGTAAAATTTTAAATAATTTTTTGAATGCGATAATTGATCTTAATAAATAGAGTTTGATTAGGGAAATTTAATAAATTTTTAAGTTCAAACTTAATTCAACTCGATTAAGTTATTTAATTTTAAAATTTATTTTTAAAAATATTAAAATATTAATATAAAATATTATCTATAATTGACTTAATATGTTAATAATGAATAAATTTGACCATCACTTTAAATAAATCCAACTTGAATTCAACCGAATCAATTTATGAGCACTTCAAAATTTAGCTAATTCAATTGCCTTTTTAAATCTAATTTGAATATGAAAAATTAGAAAAACCCCTAAATTCGAGTGGCTAAAACTGTTCACAAACCCGATTCGTCTATTAACCTTGAGTATTAAAGTTGTTATTTGAACTCGTATATTAAACTTCAAAAACCAACATAATCCCTAACTGTTATTGAACTCCTAACTGTTAAAGTGGTCTTACACTTGCACTCCTAACTTCTAATTTGATCCCGGTATTCTATCGAGTCGGGCCTCGTTGCTTGAAACTGCTAAAGACAACACTTGGGCTTGGCCCGAAGGTATCAAAACTCAAGAGGCCCGCATTTCAGGGCAGCAGGCCTTATACTTAGGTTTGTCCTTTTCCCTAGGGTTTAAGGTGTCTCCGTCTCTTTCTCCTTTTCCAAGCCATTTCTCAGTAACCGCAAAAACTCATGGAAAAGAACCTGAGGGAAACCGAAGAAACAAACCGACTAACCCAAGAAGAAGAAGAAGAAGAAGATGATGATGACAACAGTAAGGAGGCTTGGACCGAAGACGAAAATGAAGATGATGATGAAAATGACGAAGATTCAGTGTTTCTGTGTTTGTTCTGTGACTCCAAATACGGTTCTTGTGATGCCCTGTTCGAGCACTGTCGTTTAACTCATTTCTTCGACTTTAATGGAATCCGAAAAGAATTGGGTTTGGATTTTTATGGTTCCTTCAAGCTCATCAATTATGTTCGCTCTCAGGTCAATCCCAAGCCCAATTATTTATTCGTTTTTTCTACATTTGTGGATATTTTTTCTTTTTTGCTTTTGCTTTCATCTTATATTTGAGGTAGAAAGTAAAGAAATGCATTTAAATATGAATGCAAGTATTATTTTTGAATAATTAAAGCTTTGTTTGGTAGTTGTTTTTATTATTTACTTTGGTTATTTTTAAGAATTAAAAGTTAAATGTTTTGTTTTTTTTTTTTTTGGAAAATAAAATGTATGTCTTTGCTTTTATATAGAATAATAATAATTATGTTGGAATTGGTTTTATGTTTTAGTTTAAATGTTTAATTATCTATAGTTTTGCTAGAATTGGTTTTAAGTTTTAGTTTAATCGACTACAGTTTTGCTTTCTATAATTTTCTTTTATCACATAGCAATTTATTAGGATACCAAAAGCAAATAGCAAAAGCAACAGTGACATGATTTTTGTTTTTCGGGTTCAGTTTCTGAAAAATATTGATACAGAACCTTTTCTACTTGCAAAGGACCCTTTATAGTTGGCTTCTCTCTAATTTCTCATAATTCTTGAAGAGTTTGGAATAGGGATGGCATCGGGTCGGGTTTGGGGCGGGTTTTGCTCGCCCTGAACCCGGCCCGACTTTATGCTTTAACATACCCGAACCCGATCCTACCCGAATTTTTTATACCTCAATCCGACCCGACCCGACATTATGTAAATCGTACCCGACCCGATTCGATCCGAAATTAATAAAATATTATTTTTTAAAATATAAAATATTATTTTTTAAATATAAATATTTAGAAATATCATTATATAAATATATATATAAATAAATAATTAATTTAAAAATAAATTTTTATATAATGTCGGGTCGGGTTTTAGGTATACCCGACCCGACCCCCCCCCGATTATTCCCTAACTATACCCGATCCTACCCGACCTGAAAACCGAAATTCAAAAAAAAAAACCCGACCCTATGGGGTCGGGTCGGGCCGAAACCCGTCGGGGACGGGATTGATTGCCGTCCCTAGTTTGGATGGGGTTATGTAAAGTGAACAAGTTTCAGCATGCTAATGTTTAGCGGATTAATGCCTTCTTTACATTTCTTTTGACTTATCAGGTAGCAGATAATAGATGTTGGAGTTGTGGGGTCCACTGTCAGTCGAAGCAAGAATTACGAAGTCATTTACATCAATCTGTCAGTACCAATGATGTTAAGCTTCTTTTGGATGGTGATAAATATCTTAATCCTTTCATGCAAGAAGATTCACTTTTGTACAGTTTTGGTGGAGATGAAGAAGATGAAGATGACTATAACACATCATTTGACGAAGGGGAGATTGTGAGGGATTTTGGTAATGTTTGCATTGATGATGACAATACTGCAGAAGAGATTGAATTGAATTCTGTGACCTCTAACAAAGATAGAAATAAAGCTGTTATGACAGTTTCCAACGGTCATTTAAGTTTGGCAAATTCTTCAAAGAGGATCACAGACAATGGACTGGATTATGGAGAAACTGCTAGGCCTTGTGACAGTAATACAAAGGATAAGCAATCTAGAGTTTTTATTGCGGATGTTGTTGAAAAGGATATCAAAAAGGTTAATGAGAGTTATTTTGGGTCATACAGTTCATTCGGAATCCATAGAGATATGATAAGTGACAAGGTAAAAATCCGTCCTTGTATTCTGACAAAAGTGTTAGAAGGTTTGACTAGCAATTTGATATTCATATCTTTTGGTTCTACAGGTAAGAACAGATGCTTATAGGGAAGCTTTATTGAAAAACCCTTCTCTCCTGAATGGTGCAGTTGTGATGGATGTAGGCTGTGGGACTGGCATACTAAGGTAACATGTTTCATTCAGTTTTCTTTTTAAGTATTATTTACTAAAAGTGTTTTATTTTATATGTTAAAATGACATGTATATGTCTTATGTGATCATGGGACAATTTATTTTAGCTTTTGATAATTTAAATCTTTGAATCCTACCATACATTATGCTTCTTGCCTCCATTTTATCTTAAAAAAGGGTCACATTTTCCTATTATTTGAGAATCCATAGATTATCATTGGGAAAATTTACAGGTAAAATGCCTTTTTATTTTGAGGGTTGTGATTAATTCATGATTGTATAAATGGCTTCATAAATAGAGTATTTTACCATGACCCCCTTACTATGCATGAGACTTGGTATTACTTATATATATATATATATATATATATATATACACACACACATACATACATACATACATACATATCCATGAAGCACAAACACATGACCACTCCTAGTGTATGACGTGGAAACACTGTCGACATGCCGGAATATGTACGAGACATGTTGGGACATGGCAAAAAGATAAAAACCAAGTTGGACATGGTCCCGCCATGGTCAAGACATGTTTGGACATAGGTTAGCGGCAAAAAATGGTAAAATATGGATGGAGGCCATGAGGTTGTTTTGTAAGTCTAGGCTTTTTTAGTTATTTTTTTTTGGAAATCTAGGTTGATAGGAAGAAAGAAGAGGGTGGGATGAATTTTTTGAAGGGAAACTGGGTAGGGGCGGGAGCAAGAAAACAGAGAGGGAAAAAGACAGAAAGAAAAAGAAAAGGAAAGATAGAAAGAAGGGAAAGAAGAAAGAGAAGAAGAAAAAGATGTATGGGTCCTTTTTGTGGGTCGGGGAAGGGCCTATTTGGAAGAAACAAAGACTTTCCAATTCATTTCTTTCTAAGCTTTGATTGGAAGAGATTTTTAAATAAATCAATAATCAATAATCAATAAAATTAGGTAAATTAGTATGTAAATTTTTTTATGTGTATTTTATGATTTTTAAGTGGCAATAAATAAAAAATTTATCTTGGGCCTTGTTCTTCTTGAATTACGTGTCTCAAAGTTAAATAAAATTTGGTCAAATAAAATTTGATTATATATTTATACAAAATATTAATATTTACATTTATATTAAATATTTTTATATAAAATTTTTTTATTGTAGTGTCCTTGTCATGTTGTACCCGTATTGCAAATCCGTGCTTCATATATATATATATATATATATATATATATAACTACTGCCACCAACAAGGATGTTTGCTGCTACCCTAATTTTTGTGTGTATTGTCAACATTTTGATTGCTGGGGATATATTATGTAGTTTGACGTTCAAATATGGTAAACATACCCATTTTGACAGGTTTCTTATTATCAAGTTTTTCCCTCTTTATCAGTCTCTTTGCAGCCCAAGCAGGAGCTTCAAGGGTTATTGCCATTGAAGCTAGTGAGAAGATGGCTGCAGTGGCAACTCAGGTAAAATTTTTTAGACTTGGAGTGTTTAAAATGACTTGCTTGTTTATAATTTCTTGATTTTGTTAATTGCAGATTGCAAAAGACAATGGCCTTTGGCGGAGTAAAAACAACACTGAAGGCAATAACAACTGCACTGGTGTAATTGAAGTGGTTCAGAGTATGGTTGAGAATCTTGATAAATCCATAGAAATCCAACCTTATAGTGTTGACATATTAGTAAGTGAATGGATGGGATACTGCCTATTATATGAGTCCATGCTCAGCTCAGTGCTCTTTGCAAGAGATCGGTGGTTGAAGCCTGGAGGTGCAATACTTCCTGATACAGCAACTATTGTAAGTATTTGGCAATGTTTCACTTCCTTGTCAATATAGATTAATTATTGTTACTTACATTTTTTCCCTCTTCAATTTCCATTTTAGTTTGTTGCAGGATTTGGAAAGGGTGGTACCAGTCTTCCATTCTGGGAAAATGTTTATGGCTTCAATATGTCTTCTATTGGAAAGGAAGTCGTTGAAGATGCTGCTAAATTTCCTATTGTTGACATTGTTAATCATCATGATCTAGTAACGAATTCTGCAGTACTTCAGGTTAGTGGCTTCAATTGTCTTATGCTTGTCCTTCTAATAATTCATTTGAAAAACAATAACATAAGAAGGTCAATCTAGTTTATGTAAAAATTTGGGGGCAGTAATAAACTACGCATTTGCTAGGTCGATGTACCTGTACAAGACATTCTTCTTTTGGTTCTGTAGCATGATATTTTAATGGACTGTTCAGCTTTTAGATGGTTCATAATTTAAAGAGATGTAAAGTTGTTTATATATTGTTCTTGGTCCATGATTCTAGATTTATGTGTCTGCTTATAATTAATCTTGGCTTTGTAAGAGGTGAAGCATCTCTTGCAAAGGCAATTTAGAACTGGAGGATCTTTTGTCTTGTCAAATAACATTATAGTTTCAGCTCTTGTTTTTATGTCTTCGAATTTGACACATTTTGACTAATTGCTGGGTTTGAATCAATTTATGTAATTCATTATCAACAAATTTCTGCATATAGGCTGTGTAAGGTCATTAATTTTATTTTCTTCAACATATAATAAAGATTCCTAGAGCTGTAGTGACAATTTGTTTTCTTTCAATGTTAATGACAATCAAAGTGGCTGGCTTTAGAGTTGCCCCATCTATCTTTGCTGGATATATATTGGGTCGGTTAGGGTCAGGTTGGGTTTGCCTAAAACCTGACCCCGATTTTTACCTTCTATAACCTGACCCGATACCCGATTTAAAAAAAAAAAAAAAAAACCGACCCTAAGAGATCAGGTTGGGTCGGAACCCGTTGGACCTTCCCTATGTATGAGGGTGCAATGCAGTGTCCAATCGGTCTTAACAACAATTACCCTTGGCCACACTTTCTAAAAGCTGTCTTATCTGTTAACCTTCTTTTTCATTTTTATCTGTTCCCCATATTAATTGTAATATTTCAAAAGTTCTGGTTCACTTTTCACACGTTTCTTTCTTTCTTTCATGGAGGCTCGCTGGAAATTTTAAGTGTTATAGGGGGCTTGTGTGGAAAAATATGCATTTGCATTGAGCTGAGAACTATTTTAGGACAGAAATATGGTTCTATAGATGGCCAACATGGAACACTGGGTGTGTACTTTATACTGAGGTTCCCTTAAAACATCTTGCATTTGAAGTAGTTACTGCTTGACAGTATGTTTATCCATTGTTTAACAAGGCTGATTTTAGTGGTATTACTGAATGATGTTAAGCAGTTGCAAAAATGTTTATGAGCATACCAATGAGTGCTATTCTGGTGCCACTTAGAAAGGAGTTTGTGAGTTTCTCATTCTGTATTTGGATAATATTTGGATACTGAAAAAAATGCTGTCCTTGGCTTATGTCATTTTATAACCTTTATGGTATTAGACTAGAGTACAGGAGTATAATCTATTAATTTGGGTTGTGGCTGACTGTGTTTTTACTTTAGAGCTTTGACCTTGCGACTATGAAGCCTGATGAAGTAGATTTCACTGCAAGTGCTGAGTTGGAAGCAAAGTTAGATAGTCTGGCAAGCAACCACAATGACTTGGAACATAAGGCGACTTCGTGTTATGGGATTGTATTATGGTTTGAGACTGGATTCACCAGCAGATTCTGCAAAGAAATGTCAACCATGGTGTCTACGTCACCGTATACTCCTAGAACCCATTGGTCACAGACAATCCTCACTTTTCGAGAACCTATAGCAATGGCATCAAGCAAATTCACTGTTGAAGGATCTGCAGCTGTTGGAACGGATGGCTATCCAGCTTCAAAAATTCTTTTGCGTATCAGCATTGCCCGTGCCACTCAGCACCGCTGCATTGACATATCCCTTGAAACTACTGGAGTTGGTGCCAATGGTCAGAAACGCAGTTGGCCAGTGCAAATGTTTAATTTATCGTAATGAATTAAAAGGGATGAAATTATCCTTAGATGGCATTTTCTATACGTAGCCAACGTGGTCAAGTTTTCAATTGTTATCCTTTTACTTTGTATCATTAAATCTCGTTTGTTCTTCTAAGTAACTTTTCATCGGCGTCTGTTTTGTTACCGTCTTCTGTTGAAGAGTGTAACTTAGCTACTATTGTACAAATTGTCAAATTCAGGCTAATGCTAGTAAATTTAGCAAGTAAAAAGTAAATTAAGTGATAAATAATGCTAAAAAAATATTAAAAAATGAATGGGAATTTGGTTGTAAATCACAATCTAAAATTTATTCAAAGAAATACAAAAAAAAAAAAAGATATAAAATGGTCAAATGAAGCCAAAAAAGCATAAATTGGACCGAAAAAAATTGTTAGAATAACAACTTTTAAAAGAAGTTCAAATGTAAATGTTTTATTTGTGATGAAGAGAGTTATATAGTATCTCAATATTTTTAGAAAAAATGCTAAAAAAAATTATTAAAACTCTTGAAGAATGAGATTTAGAAATTTAATTTTGAGAATAAATATCTGAAAATGAAATTATTTATAAATTAATTTTTTAAACAGATTTTGATTATGATGATGAAGAGTATATTTTTATATTTAATATAAGCAGCAATCCTAATAATAATAATATTATATCAGAATTTAATAATTAACTTAATTTTGAAAGTAAAACAAAATTTAGGACAATAAATGACAAAATTAAATGATGTTTTAGGATATTATTTCAGATGGATTGATAGAAAAACTACAATTATTAAAGAAAGATGAAATTTATAAACTTTCATCGTTTCAAAATTCAAACCATGGACAAAAAAACACATAGAAAAATTTAGTGGCAATATTATAGCTATTGATTCTAATAAAGGATTTGTAGATATTCCTTTATTTATTAAAGAAAAAATTAAGAGAATTAAACAAAAATATCCTGAAGTTAAATATATACATTAGGGAATAATTATGATAACTATAAAAATTTTTATTCAAAGTTGATAATGATATACTAATAATAGCAGTATTAGTAGATAAAAGGTTTGAAAATCCTATTAAAACTCTAATAAGAGAAATACAATCCAATCTTGTTTCAGAAGTAGTTTGGTTTAAGGTAAAATAAAATTATTTTATTTCTATTAATGACCTATTAATAAAAGATTACTTTAGATTAAGAATAATGACAAAACAGTCAAAAATTAGAAATATAGCTCATGATCTATCCATAAATTGGACAGCTATCAATTAATTTACTAATCATATTTTTAAATCTATTAAAGAAATACATTCCAATATTATAGAGATATTTGAATTTAGACCTTCTGATTCAAAAATCAAACTAAAATTAATGAATCTTAGAGATTTGTGAGTACCCACTGGATGGTTATTAGAAAACATTACAGAACTTGTTCCTTATAATAAAAAAAAAACCAATGAAAATTTTTGATCAAGAAATAATCTATATTTCAAAAATTATGGAGAAAGTAGTTCTAGTAACAATCTAATTCTACCGTCATCTTCTTTTATACCTTTATTCTCAAATAGAGATAATGAAGACAATGAAAGTATTGCTAGTGAAGAATCATTTGTCTCACATATGCAATCTTTTCTTTCTCAACCTCAATTAGTGGGAACAAAAAATATAAATATTTTAATTTTTTTATGAGATACAAGTAGTCAAAATCAAGAAAAATAGATTTACAATTCAGTAAACTCGGTTTTATATTCAATTTCTTTGAGAAATACTAGAAGAGATGATATTGGAAGTTTGGCTATAATCAACCAATATTAAATTAGTAATGATGAAGTAATTACATTTTTTAAAAATCAACCAAAAAGGTATTATAATTATGTTGAAGCATAATTTAGATTTAAAAAATATAAATCATACTCTTTAAATATTCTGATGATACTGGAGTTACTATTTGTAGTTATAAAAATAATGTTTTACCATTAGAAAATGGAAGCTAATGAAACACCTTATAACAGTAATATGAATTGATGGAAAAGAAACCATAATAGGATATAAAACAAAAAATGTTTTTATTTATTTTATGAATAAAAAATTCATTATCCCAAAAATTTTATGCTTTCCTTTTATACATGTTGATATGTTATTAAGAAATAATTTTATATACAATTATTTACCTTTTTGTTTGAATAACAAAAATATTATTTTTAGTATAAATAAATAATCTATAAAAATATTTTTAGTTAAAAATCATAAAAATATATGTGATTTTGATTTTCGACCAGAAACCAAGAAGATGTAAATTAAATCAATTAGTGAAACACATTGGTTATATAAAATTAAAAAAGAAATTAGTAAGGAGCCATTAAAATTATGGTGTAGAAGTTCTAGATTTTGTAGTTTAAAAATTTTTTATTCAAAGAAAATAATTAGAATAAAACCAATGATCTACACTAAATAAGATATAAATGAATTTGATATATAAATTAATGAACTTTTACAAAAAAAAAACTTATAGAACCACTATTAGTCCACATTCAAGTCCAGCATTTATGGTTAGAAATCATGTTGAACAAAAAAAAAAAAAGAAAAGCCAGAATGGTAATAAATTATAATTGGCTTAATCAAAACTTAATATTTGACGGATTCTTTATCCTTAGAAAAGATGTATTAATAACCTTAGCAAAAAAATGCTAAATATTTTAAAATTTTTAATTGTAAATAAGTATTTTGACAAATAATGCTAACTAAAAAATCAAAACCATTGATAGCCTTTAGTGCATCAAAAAGCCATTATCGGTGGAAAGTCATGCTCTTTAGATTTTGTAATGCACCACAAAATTTTCAAAGATAGATGAACACCATTTTTAAAAAATGCAAAGATTTTTGTATAATATATATTGATGATATACTTATATTTTTTGAAACATTAAATAAGCATAAGAAATACCTAAATCTTATAGCTCAAGAATTCATAAAACATGGTATTATATTAAACCCTAAAAAGATAGGCTTGAAAAAACTAATATAGAATTCTAAGGATTAAAGTTATCTACAGATTGTTTTACTTTACAAGATCATATTATAGTAAAAATTAAAAATTTTCCAAAACAATTATAAGATAAAAAAATAACTTCAAAAATTTTTAGGTCTTTTTTAATTATGGAAAACAATTTATTAAAAACCTTTCTAAAAAAGAAAAAGCTCTACAAGGAAAACTAAAAAAATGATATACCTTTTTCCTGGTCAAAAGATGATTATGATATTATCAAACAAATAAAATCAAATCTTAAATTTATATCTAAGGTATATCTTCCTGAACCAGGAGAATTACTTATTCTTGAAATAGATGTATCAGGCCAATATTGGGGATGTATACTTAAATCAAAGGTACATAAGCATGAGTTAATTTATGGTTATAATTTAGGAAAATTCAAACCAAATGAATTAAAATATGTTATACATGAAAAAGAGTTACTTGTTATAAAAAATGCTGTAATCAGATTTCATATTTACCTAGCAGTTGAAAACTTTATTATTAGAACTAATAATTAGGCGGTTAAAAGTTTCTTAAAAAAAAAGAAATTAAAAACTAATCTTAGAAGAATTAGATGGTATAACTTTTTATGCTAATATAATTTTTCTATTGAATTCATTAAAGGATATAACAATGTACTTGCTTAGTTTTTAAGTAGGCTTGATGGATTAAAGTAAAAAAAACCTCTAGAACAAATTGGTGAATGGACCACAGTAAAAAAGAAGCAACCCAAACAATGTTCTTTTCTTACACATGTTAATCTTAACTAAGAATTGAGATTTCAATCCTTTAACCAACCATTAGCTCCATATCCTAATCCGGGATTTTTTTTTATCCTTAACCATGCATATAAATGTCAGGAATTCCATCACAACTAATAATGAAACCTTACAGATTATCCCAACTTTTTCGGGATCCAACCTAATTGACTCTAATGTCATATTCTGAAATTCTCCAAAACACAAAAAATTTGTTAAAACCATAACAAAATTTTTCAAAAATCAAAGATTTTTATAACCCAAGATTACCCCTTGAGTTATATAAACTCATAAATGAAGTTTGGAAAGCCTAACTTCAAAGTAGTAAATCAGCTTTTAGGAAAAACATGACTAAGCTTGTGGAAGAATTAACTAAATAGGTTAATAAATTCTAAAACTTTTCAAAATCTTGTTTTAAATAGTTTAACTCCAAGAGATTGGGAGAAACTGCAAATTTTTTAACATTATGAAAAAGAATACTCCCTTGAAGATCTAAATAATCTTTAAATATTTGTGATTTTCTCATAGAAGAAAAAAATCATTTCTTCTTTTCTTTTAAAAATTAAAAAAAATTTATACGAAAAGGCTAACAAGGTCTTACCCAATGAACCTTTTAATAGAATAAAAAATTCAATAACAGATGAAGTAAATCTTCTATTTCATAAAAAATTTCATGAATATTTTCCTTTTATATATTTAAAAAATCAAAGAATTTCAAGCAAATTTTTTAAAATTAAATTCAGATTAGATTATGACTCTTATGAAATAATCAGTATTAAAATGGGTTTTGTAAAAATAATTACTTTTCAAAATTTATTTTTTCATTTAATAAAGCATTTTTTTTTGCTTTTATTAAATCTAAAATATTTGATTTTGTTAAAAATGATGAATATTTTTCTTATGTGCATATTAGAATAACTAGTTCAGTAGGACTTTCACAGAGAAAGATTTTTTCAATCTTATCAAATTTGGGAAGTTCAAAAAATGCTTTGTAGATCAGATTTATTAGCACATAATGAAGATGAAAAAAATATAAAATTTGCTATTTCACAATTTAATGGGAGCAAGTTTATACAGTTTAAGTCGGAATCACCATGATAGAAAAAACAAAATAATTACTGAATGAAATTCTATCAAATTCATAGATTCCTTAAATCATTGTTACTACAGATGGTAAAAAGATTTTTGTGAAAAAATTTTATGATAAAAATAATCAAAAGCAAAAATTAAAGTGGTCAAACTTCTAGAGAAATTATCTAATGAAAAATTTGAATTACTTTCTTTTTTTTACTACTTAAGTATTAAGAAGGATGGAAGTAATGAAACAAGTTAAGAATAGCTTCATCGACATCTTTTAATCCAAAAAATGAAAAAACTATAAATATAGATAATAAAAAATATCGATAAAAAAAATAAGTCAAGAATTATATATCAATTAACACTTGTTAAAAATATGAAATTATCTAAAATAAAAAATTTGAATTACATTTTTTTTATTACTCCAGTATTAAGAAGAATGGAAGCAATGAAACAAGTTAAGAATAACTTTATCGATATTTTTTAATCCAAAAAATTAAAAAATTATAAATATAGATAATAAAAAATATCAATAAAAAAAAAGTCAAGAATTATATATCAATTAACACTTTTATTAAAAATACGATTATGTATTTATTAAATAATAAATTATGTTAGCAGTTCGTCGTCTTTTTACTAATTTTAGTCAAAAGTAAAAACTTATTGATATGTCATTATCCTTAAGTTTTGTCTAAGTCGGTAAGAAATTATTGATGGCAACAATAATGACAAGAATAAAAAGAGAAAAAGGAGAGGAATCGGCTGACTCTTTCTCCCCATTTCCTCTTTCTTCATTTTTCTCTTCTTCACTTGTAATTGGCATCACCAAATTTCGGTGGTGAACACATTGCTTGTGATTCTCACGTGGGTTGCTGTGATTCACAAACATTCACGTATGACAAAAACTAATTAAGGCCAAGTTGGGCAAAATTTTGGTCTGAAATAAAGGACAAAGACCAACTCAACATGAACAGACCCATAAATAGAAGAACTCATAAAACCCAGTTCATGGCCCAGAAAAAGTTGACGAAAACAAACAAAGGCACTTTGATTCGAGACATCAGCACTTAGAACTATAGCCTGCAACAACAACTACTATAGATTAATCCAGTGTTCTTCAAGGGTTTTGAGTTCTCAACACTCCCTTCCTTTTCTCATCCTTACAATTTCATTCGCCATTTCCTTGACATGATCCTCTCAAAACCACACTAAACCCAAAATCTGCAGCAAGATAACCATGTCGAACACCGCCGGATCAGATCTACTAAAAACCTTTAAACTCAAAACAAAGCAACAAGAACTCCTGATCCGAGTCTCAATCCTCTGTCTTGTCTACATCTTAGCCTTCATTACCCGTCTCTTCTCCGTCCTCCGCTATGAATCCATGATCCATGAATTCGACCCTTACTTCAACTACCGTACCACCCTTTACCTTACCCAAAACGGCTTCTACGATTTCTGGAACTGGTTCGACTCTGAAAGCTGGTATCCTTTAGGCCGAATCATTGGCGGCACCCTTTACCCTGGCCTCATGGTAACCGCCGCACTTATTTATCGCCTCCTCCATTTCCTTCGTTTCGCCGTCCATATCCGTGAAGTGTGCGTTTTAACGGCTCCGTTTTTCGCTTCGAATACGACCCTCGTTGCTTATTTCTTCGGGAAAGAAATATGGGATTCCGGGGCTGGGCTTGTTGCTGCAATTTTAATTGCTGTTTGTCCTGGTTACATATCCAGGTCCGTGGCTGGTTCTTATGATAATGAAGGAGTTGCCATTTTCGCTTTACTTTTCACGTTTTATTTATTCGTGAAGGCGGTTAATACCGGATCGTTGGCTTGGGGTTTGGCTTCGGCTTTTGGCTATTTTTACATGGTTTCCGCTTGGGGAGGATATGTTTTTATTATTAACTTGATCCCACTTTATGTGTTGGTGCTTTTGATTACTGGGAGGTATTCGATGAGGTTATATGTTGCCTATAATTGTATGTATGTTTTGGGAATGTTGCTCGCAATGCAGATTCGGTTTGTTGGATTTCAACATGTACAATCTGGTGAACATATGGCCGCCATGGGTGTCTTCTTCTTGATGCAGGTTTTGCACTTTATTTCAAGCTTCTTTTCTCTTTAGTCTCATGTAATGAATTTGTAGTAGTCTTATAGTTGTCTTAACAATTGGTGCTTGAAAAATGGGGGTAAATTTGTCTTGTTTATATAAGCAAAAGCATAAACTGGAAAAACAGAATTTTTGTGATATATAGTTTGGTCTATTTTAGTGGGAATAGAGTTTTTTATCTGTGAAATATTTTCAGGTAAGATAAAAAGTGTTGTCATGTTATCATGGGAACGGTTTTTGAGTGGGATATTTCTGCTTGGTGTTGTTCTGTATTTCTGCTCCTATTTATGCAAAAATCACTGCGAAGTGAAAAGGAAAAAAAACTAATTTTGTTTGTAAAATAATAATATGAAATTGGTTTGCAGAAATTTGTTTAGTGAATCTATCTTCCCAGTGTTGAGCTAGAAATAGAAAGTTGCATTACGCATGTTTGGACTACTTGTGCAGGTTTTCTATTTTTTAGATTGGGTGAAGCACATGCTTAGTGACACAAAATTGTTTCAAGCCTTTTTGAGGATCACCGTGACCTGTGCAGTAGCTGTGGGAGGTGTCGCCTTGGGAGTAGGCACAGTATCTGGCTATATTTCACCTTGGACAGGAAGGTTTTACTCTTTGCTGGATCCAACCTATGCCAAGGATCACATCCCCATTATTGCATCTGTTTCTGAGCATCAGCCAACAGCATGGTCATCTTTCATGTTTGACTTCCATATCCTGCTTTTCCTTTTCCCAGCTGGTGTTTATTTCTGCTTCAAACGGTTGTCAGATGCCACTATGTTTATCGTCATGTATGGCCTCACAAGCTTGTATTTTGCTGGTGTCATGGTTCGGTTGATTCTTGTTGCTACACCTGCAGTTTGCCTTATTAGTGCTATTGCTGTTTCTGCCACCGTGAAGAATTTGACTGTACTGTTGAGGTCGAAGAACAAGGTTGTCCAGACTGGTTCCACTAAAGGAACTAGCAGTGCAAAGGCCTCTTCTAAGGTGACTCCTGCCTGTCATTCTCTCTCTCTATTTCTCTTCCCTATCTCTGATATTTTGCTTGTCTGTCTCTTGTTATGCACATAGAATAATTATTGCTTTAGTTTTACTGTTGTTATGATCTCTCTCACTCTCTCAGTTGTTTGATCTGAATGTGCCTGTTATTCCTTGAGCTTCGAGCTAATGCTACTGAAATAAAAATGCTTGTAGTCCTTTGCCAAAGGAAAAAATTAGAACACTGAAACTTCAAGTAATAAGAATTTGTTTTTGTGCACTTATTTTAACTAGTAAGGAGATAATACTTGTTTCAACTATTTGTTTGATGTTATTGTTAATACTTCATGTCTATTGGATATCTTTGTAATGCATTGATGATAACAACTTATCATTCTAGACATAATTGGTGGAATTAACTGATTATTCTGCTTTGCTCTGGCATATTCAGTTGCATTATTTGGTTACCTTGGACATATAATGAGCTTTTCTTTCAGAGTTTCTTTCTTCATGTCAAGTGTGAAATGAGATAACTTGATTGGGAAGCTTTTGGTTTGTGATGTAAAGCCTACTAATCCCATTAAGCTGTTTGTGGGAGTCTCTCCATCTATCACACTGAACTGAAAAAAATTAGCCGTAATCATAATTTGACATCCTTGGGTTATATTATAAACAGGGGTCAGTAAGAAAAAGATATGTTAATTAATTGATAGTCCACCTGATTACTGCATTGTTATTGTGAATTTGAAGTTACAATTTACAGATGATCCGGCTGAATTAGCATGAAATAGTTCTGATTCCTATTCATTTTTTTAACCTTTTCTATCTTTTCCCAAGTTTCCTAAATACCTTAGAGAGGAAGGTCCTGCTTTGCAAATTCGTCCTTTACTCTTCTATTTTCTTTCCTTTCTTGCTTCTTCTTCCTTTCCAGTCCCACTGTCTTGTCTTGTAACATGTAACGTTACGCTTTAGTGTTACAGGATAAAGGTTCTGTAAATTGAAATCACTTAGATTTTGTGTCATAAAATATTATGGAAGGAGTTTCAGTAATGGTACTAATTAAGGATATATCTAGATATCTGTAACCAAACCGTTGGTTTGCCATTCTCTGGATCTTGTTATATGGTGAGGAAAGGAATGTAAACTCTGACATGTATTTCCTTCATTTTTAGTCAACATTCATATTTTGGTGATTTAATGTGCCACAGTTGATAGTTAATTTAAAGTTTTTTTACTTTTGTGTATAATTATTGGCAGTGACTGAACTTGTATTTGATGCATGCTTAAATGATCTTTGTTTGTATGGTTTCATGTATTGTTTTTGGTAGAAAACCCAAGCTTTTGATTGACTGCTTTTAAAATAATGTTCTTTCTAATAAGTTTATGAGTTAAATTGAATCATTTGGATTCCTTGTTTGACGATAATATGGTTTCCATTTCTGATATTCTCTATCTTTATTAATGTTTCCCTCTCTAAGTTAGGAAGCAAAGTGAATAATTTTGTGTCAACTCAGTTGATCTAAAGGTCTCCTATAAGATAAAACTTCCGTTGTTCTTATATTTCCTGTGACCAAAGGAGTTAGTGTTGTAAATGCTAGTCTTTAATTTGTTATCGTGCTTAATCTCATCCATTGCTTCTGTAGATCTATTTTGATAGCATGGGTTTTTGTTGGAAGATAAAGGCTTGACCAATTTTGTTTCTTCTATGTGGCAAGTGTAAAAAGTAGTACGTAGAACTATCTGGTGCCACAGGCCTTTATTATGTCTACGAGGTATAAAGAAATTCCTTTTTTTTTTGAAATAAAGGTATAAAGAAATTCCTAAATCATGTGATCAAGGAGTAGAAATTGCAGGTATTTCTTATAGTTTGTGTTTCTAGCCATAATGTTAGGGTTCTTTTTGGTTTGTTTGGGCTATACTAAGAAATAACCACTCTTGTTTATTTTCCAAATAGGCTTCCCTTGATCAATCCCAACCTTTCCAGAAAAATGGTGCTATGGCATTGCTCTTTGGTGCTTTTTACTTGCTCAGTAAGTATGCTACCCACTGTACATGGGTCACTTCAGAGGCTTACTCATCTCCTTCAATTGTGCTGGCTGCAAGAGGTGCCCATGGGAATAGGGTGATATTTGATGATTATCGTGAGGCATACTTTTGGCTTCGGCAAAATACTCCTCCAGATGCTAAGGTGATGTCTTGGTGGGATTATGGGTATCAAATCACTGCCATGGGAAACAGAACTGTTATTGTTGACAACAATACTTGGAATAATACACATATTGCTACTGTTGGGCGTGCAATGTCATCTTATGAAGATGAGGCATATGAGATAATGAGATCACTTGATGTGGATTATGTTTTAGTTGTCTTTGGAGGTGTTACAGGTTATTCTTCTGATGATATTAACAAGTAAGATTGGAAATCACTCTCTCCTATTTTAGTCATAATTTTTGTGTGTCTAGCTGCAGCTCATCAGGCATTGTGTGAAAGATGCCTTGAATGGTTAATTGTTCTTGGTTCTTTGCTTTAAATCATGAACTTTCATGCCATTCATACTGGGATAGTTGGATTGGTGGTGTAGTCTGATTGAATAATTAACACTGGTCTGTACGGTTAAAAGTATGACAATTAGGGCTGGATCTCTCACTCTGTCTTTGCCTCTATCTCTATTTCACTCATTTACTGTGTATGAACAGTGTGCATAACATAAGAGATTGCATGAAAATCTGCTTTGATTGTTTAATGATTATTAGGTTATGTTTGGTGTACAAGAGTATGATAGGATAGGATAAGAGGATATTATGAATAGGATTAGAATAAATAATGTCATTCTATCTTGTGTTTTATGTGTGCAAAGATTAGGATAGGATAATTTTATTTATTAGTCAAAATTACCCTTTCTCAAAGTTTATACAATTTAAATTTTTTATGCAACTTTTAAGGGTATAATAGGACATGTAAGTTTAATCTCATGAATTAAAAATAATAGGATGATTTAATCCTCCTTGCAATTGTACCCCTTTCTTTAGATATAAACTAAACATGGTATAGGATGATTACATCCTATCCTATCTATCATCTTATTCACCAAACATGACCTTAGGTCTTTATCTTGAATTATGAAGACTGATGCTTTTGTAGTTTGATTGATGGATGTATTTAAACCATTCTTGGTACATGAGCAGCAAAAAGAAGATGAAAAAGGAATAGGAAATCATATTTGTTTTGAGTATGTAGAAGTGGTTTTCTACCATCTAGCATTTTGAAAATTGTTTTGAATGGCCATTTGTCAAGACAATTTTACCTAGCAAGTTTCTTCCTATATTTGCACAATAGTTTATACTCTATGCCAGCACAATTGTACTCTAATTACATTTTATTGTGAAATAGATTTTTGTGGATGGTGAGGATTGGAGGTGGAGTATTTCCTGTAATCAAGGAACCTGACTACCTTGTTAATGGTGAATATCGTGTTGACAAAGGTGCAGCTCCTAAAATGTTGAATTGCCTCATGTAAGTTCTTGAAGTTGTTATTTCTCTCTTTCTTTAGTACTCTCTAACAGGGATGTCAATTTTACCTAAACTTGTTGGAAAACCTAATTTTTTACCTAATGGAGATGGGGATGGGTATTTTGGGAATGGGGATGGAGATGGGATGGTTATGGTTTTAAATTTTTTATCAGGTACAGGTACGGGGCTGGGTAATATAGCACTTTTGCCGTACCTGTACCATATATATATATATTTATATATATTTAATAATTTAATTTTTTATTTAATAATATAAATTTTATTTAAGATTTATTGGAACTAATATATTTGTGTTTAAAAAATTCATATTTATAAAAAATTACTTAAATATGCAAGATAAAAATAAAAAAATAAATTTTTTTTTTATTTTTCTAAAAAACCATGGTAGGGGATTATCCATACTTGTTAATACCTATGGAGATGGGGATGGAGATGAATTTGAAATACTCGTTAAGTATGGGTATAGGGATGTGCATAATATAAGAAACCAGGGATGGGATGGGGAATGTTCTTCTCTTCACATATCCTACCTATGACATCTCTACTATAATGCTTTTGGGTGTTTAAAAGTTTTGTTCATATATATATGTATTTATTTATTTATGGTTAGGTACAAGCTATGTTACTATCGGTTTGGAGAGCTGGTGACAGAATATGGCAAACCTCCTGGGTAAGTTGGCATTTTCAAGTTGTTGGTACTAAAATATGTGCACATATGAAAATGATATATTTTATCTATTATAGCTATATTTGCTAAATCTCTACCATTGTTTCCTGATATGGCAGCTATGATCGTGCGCGAGGTGTTGAAATTGGAAATAAAGACATTAAACTTGAGCACTTAGAAGAGGCATTTACGACATCTAATTGGATAGTTCGTATTTATAAAGTTAAACCACCAAATAATAGGTGGTAAGAGTTTCTGCTTCCAACTCTCGGATCTTGAAAAGGACATGGTAGATGTAATTGTGCTGGAGTCTTGGAATATAGATTAGCTGTAGCAACCAAGCATATTTTCTTGAGACTGAGTTGGTTACAATGTTCAAGGCTATTAGGTTTTCTACAACCCCATTTTTGCAGATTTGATACATTGGCATCCCCTTTTCACCTATTTGGTTAATTAATATCCATCATATCAATGATAAACTGTCGTTCAGTTCCTTGATTATTTACCACTTTGTAACTGCCTTTCTATGAGAGGTGAAGAAATGAACGTTTCTTAGTATGTCTCAATTTGAAACTATTAAGTTAAAACTTTTAGTAAACGTCTGAATGATTTGGATTGAAATTTAAAATTTTGTGACATTTCCTCAATTGTACCACTAATCTTCGATCCTTCCACAAAATTTCATTTTTATTTCTTACGACTTTTTTGAATTCATTTAATATGAAAAAGATGTGCTACATGCCGTTCACCTCAACTTCACAGGGAAAATTAATTTGAGCATCCACACATGCTATGCATGGACCTTTTATAAATGACTTATTGCCCGATGTGCGATAATGACAACATATTTCATGTGGAAAGAAAAAGAGCATGATAACAAAACTTGTACCCATGACTGGAACACATGGACTCCAGCTCAGAAAAAGGAGAGGGTTCAAAGAATTGATTCTCTTTCTTGAAAAGTGAACTGTTATTGAATTCTAATTTTGCTTTGTATCGTATTGATGATTACTGGGCAACTCCTCTAATTTAAGAATTGTAACATACTATATAATGTTCCCTGTTCAACAAATAAAAGAAACAAATACCCCAAAAAAAAAAAAAAAAACAAGAAACCAAAAACTAATTCTAAAAACCGAACCGAAGAACCCTCTGCATGAAAAGTCTCAAATAAATGGCCTCCTCTGCCTGACCTTAGCCATCCATCAATGATAGACCCCACCAAATTCACAGCTTCCTCAAGCTTCCCTTGAGCATTCACAACAACATAATCAAAACTCTTCACAAACTTCACCTCTTCTCTAGCAGTAGCAATCCTGACTAACAATTCCTCCTTACACAGTCTTCCTCTCAATCAGCCTCTCTTCAAGTGCCAACTCACTCTCAGCCACAAAGAATTTCAACACCTCAGAAACCCCAAGAATCTTCCTCAATGTTTCAAATATCCACTTCAATACAATATCACACCCTTTAGCATAAGCTCCCTCATTTGCTTCTTCGGTATTCCTTTATGATCACCATAAACTAAGGCATACTCCAAAAGCTCATCTTTCTCAACCCTTGAGAAAAAACTCTCTCTTCCTTTGACCCAAAATAATAATCTTTCCCATTAACTTCACCAGGCCTCATTCCTCTACTTGTAGCAGTAACAACAAAATGAAGATTTTCTCTAATTTCTCTCAATCTTTTGATGACTGCTTCTTTGCCTGCTCCACTTGCACCACTTATGACAATGATTAGAGGATTTGGGGTGGGACAAATTGAGTCGGAGCAAAAAGAAGAGCCTAAAGAAGACTCCAAAGCACGAAATAACTCTGGTTTTGACGCTTTGTCAAGGGAAGGTTTTGAGGCTTTATCAAGGGAAGAAAAGGAATGAAACCTTTGGGTATCAGCCATTTTGGTGGTTGAAGTGAAAATGAGCCCTTTGGAAAGAGTTTGGCCTGTTTAAAACGAGGACTTCCTGGGGAGGGGAAGGGAGAGGGGTTTGGTTACAAAGAGATTTGCGGAGTCTAAAAAACACGAGGGATTTTAATGGAGTGCTTCTATTTACATTTTTTTAATCTACACTCAGTTACTTATTATATTCCACGTTCAAAATTTAAAAATTATATTTTATTTAATTCACTATAATGATATTTGATACATAAAATAATAAATAAAATAATATGATAATTATTTTATATTATATTTAGTTTGTATCTAATTGAAAGAAATATGATTACAAAAATAATTATTATCCTTTAGATCTAAGATAATTCAATCATTTCAAAATAAAGAGAACTATTTTTAATTGATGAGATTAAATTTACATGTTTTATTGTGCCCTTAAAAATTATATCAATAATTTAAATTTTATAAATTTTGAAGAAGGATAATTTTGATTAATAAATAAATTATCTTATCTTAATTCTTGCACATATAAAACATAAATTAGGATAATATTATTTAATTTAATTTTATTCATACTATCATTTTATCCTATCCTATTATAATTTTGTGTACTAAACATAACTTTATAACCTATAATCCTAAACCTTAAGATCATGTTTGGTGCATAGGATGATGGATATAATAAAATAATAATTATCTTATATTATGTTTGGTTTGTATTTAAAGAAATAGCTAGGATTACAAGAAGGATTAATCATCCTTTTGGTATAAGATGGTTCAATTTTTTTAAAGTGAAGAGATTTATTTTTAATCTATTAGATTAAATTTATATGTTCTATTATACTCTTAAAAATTATATCAATAATTTAAATTGTATAAATTTTGATAAAAAATAATTTTGATCAACAAATAAATTATCCTATCATAATTCTTGCACACATCAAACATGAGATAAGATGACATTATTTAATCTAATCTTATTCATAATATCATCTTATCCTAACCTATTATAATCTTGTATGCCAAACATATCCTAAACACCTTTTCACTCTTCACATCTATCACACACATTTCTCTCTAAATAGATTCTCTCTAAACTCTCAAACCCTAAATCCTAAAATTCAAACCTTAAATCATTGAGTTTTAGAGTTAATCAAATCACCAAACTTTAATTTAGAGGTAATTTATCTTTGATTTTATTTGATTTTGATTAAGTTCTTTGATTACGTTATGGGTTTGATTTGAATTATGCGTGATATAGTCGATTCTAGATTTGAATTTTTGAAACTTTTAAATATTTTAAAAAATTTAAATCCAAAAATTAAAGCTTTTAGAAAATTTTGGAGTCTGAGAACTTAAAAATCATGAAACTAATTTCCAATTTAATATCTGTATTAATATATATTTTTATAGTATTGATTATAAGTATAAAACATATTCAGTGTAGGGTTAATTTGCATATTTGCTTTGAATTTGTTGGAATGAAATATTTGAGAGACAAAGTGTTAACTATTTCTTCTATGTAATAATAGATATGGCACAAACGAGAAAAACTGGTGTTTGTAGAGGTAGGGAACGTGTTATAGCTGACACTCGATTGTGTTTGACTATCACTAAAAGGAGATGATGAGTCGAAAAATATGTGGATGACTCCATTGTTGACAGAGCATGATATTATTCTTGAAGACAGACCTCCCACCTAGCAACGTGAAAATAAGGGTGGAGATGATGCAAAAAAATTGATTGAGTCTTTTTTTAAAGGGCTGATGAATGCTTCTATCCTTAAGAGTCTTTTCAATCACAATGATGCTTATAATTTATTCTTGTTACTTAAGATTTGTAAAGTTAATAACTAGTTTTTATTTATAAGAATGAGTTATGTTGAAATCGATCAATCATGTGACAAAGTTACAACAATAGCCTCTAGATGTTTCCCGTTAGTGTATCCATGCACATGTTATTTAGTCATGGTTGCAGTTATTAATCGATTACATCTGTCGTTTGTCCAAGAATACAATAATGTTCATAATTGTTGAAAGGTGCCAACCTAAGATGAACACCTTTCTCTTACCATTTGATGAAATGACAATCACACTAAATGATGAGTCATCATTCGTAACATGTCAGGGTAGCCATGGTTTCTCATCAAACTCATGTGATGGTTGATGAGGTGAATGCGATGCTGATGAGTTACTTAAATTGTAAGAGGCTGAGACAACCAAGCCAATGAGATAAATTTTATCGGGGTGCAGTAGTTAAATTGTGGTGGTTGTGGAATACATTTGAAGATACTAGGGATATAACTTCTAATTAAGGTGTAGAGTGTGCGAGTAGGCTTTTTTACTCCATCTCTTAGGGTATACTCTGTTTATTAACAAGAGTAATGATAAGGTATTAGTAGCATACTTATCCTTTATGGGTGACTTCAGCTAGACTAGTAGATATACTTGAAGAGTAGTTTTGCTAGCATATTTATATAGGTAGCTTGGTGTAACGAGCAGGTCTGGCATTCATCAAATTGTTGGATATATAACGTTTTTTCAAATATGATCTTGTTTTAACTTTTTTATTTGATTCAAAAAATATTTGAATAGTGATGGTTCATGTATTTGATGTAGGCGTGGATTTATAAGCAATTTCTTTAACTATGTTCAATAGTTATACTGGAATATTCTAACACTTAGCCTAGTGCTCTACAATAAAGGCCTTATATATTTGTCGATAAATTACAGTGATTATGTTAGTAATTGAATGACTTGTGACCAAACAAGGTATGCTCGTAACCTTGTAAAACAACGACAACAATACCCATTGTATGAGGTTACTTTTTTCTATGTGTTTGAAGTACAGAGTATCATTAAACCTTATCATTTAGAGAGGGTTATACAATGATTTGGTTTCATAACCATTCTTCTAACCATTTTGGTTTCATCTTGAGTTAATCAAGGTTCATCATTCAGTACCTATCAAGTGGCATATAACTTTTTAAACAAGTTATAAGAGAGACGGGATATGTATGTCTTGCATGAAGAATGTTAAAAGTGATGATGTCAAACACTAGGCAAATGTTCATTGGATTGTGATGCTTTGTATGTATCCATTTCATATCAATGCATTCAAAATTTAGAACGAGGTTTCAAATTTCGATCATTATTAATCAATAAAGAGCTTAGCAGTGAAATTATGGGTAGTTAATTTATTTGTTATTGTTGAGTTTTAATAGCAATTATGTGTTATTGATAGTGATTATCTTGTTCAATGTGTAGAGTCGCATATCAACGATAATGTCATTTATTAAAAGTGTTATCGTTAGTGGATTAGATCAAAATGTGGTTGAATGTAAAAGAGTGTTATTTAATGTATGTGACCTACTGTTTGAATCCTCAAAGGTGGCTAGTATCAGTTAGTCTAGACCAGCTACTAGTAATAGTCAATATAGACCACCTATATTTGCTTGCTCCCCACCCTTAATATTGACAAGATCATTGCCCTTAGCAACACCGTTTGTGCCCACTCGCTCTTCACCCAAACAGTAACATCACCGAAAACTCAATCACCAACTTTAGTTTAGTCTACACCTAGACATGTTTATTTGCGAAATGAAAGGATAAAAGATTAAGACTTTAGTTATAAGTTTTTGTATGACATATATTCATGCATAGTTTTTGTCTTTTGAAATGTTAAACATTTTTCTTTTTTTGGTATTTTATGTACTTATATAACAATTAATAAACATATATGTTGTCATCATATAATACATACATGTAACCTTCTATATGCGTAAACACATATGGAATCTCCTATTTGTGTAAACACATACATGTAATACATATGCCTTTAAATCATACTTGGACAAGGTTTTGGGGTTTAGAGGTTGGGATTATGGTATATGGTTTGAGGTTTATGTTTAAGATTTAGTGGCTTAGGTTTGTGGTTAAAGGTATAGGGTTAGGGATTAAGGTTTATGGTTATAAAGTTTAGGGTTTCGGAATTAAGGTTTACAAGCTTTTAGGTCTTTAAACTTGTCGATATGCATTTTCGAAAGCTTAAACAAAAACTAAGTAGGTTAA